CGTTCCCACCAGCAGTGTGCAAGGTTTCCTTCTGTCACACCCTTGCCACACCTACCTTCTGTCTTTTTGATAAGAACCATTCTGACAGATGTGAGGCGACATCTCACTGTGGTTTAGACTTGCATTTCCCTGATATCCATGGTGTTGAGCACCTTTTCATGGGCCCGCTGGCCCTCTGTATCAGTCAGGGTTCTCTAGGGGGTCAGGACTAATAGGACAGATGTAAATATGAAGGGGAGTTTTGTTTTGTTTTGAGATGGAATCGTCCTCTGTTGTCCAGGCTGGAGTGCAATGGTGTGACCTCGACTGACTGCAACCTGCACCTCCTGGGTTCAAGCAATTCTCCCACCTCAGCCACCCGAGTAGCTGAGATTACAGGTGCCCACCACCATGTCCAGCTAATTTTTGTATTTTTAGTAGAGACAGGGTTTCATCGTGTTGGCCAGGCTGGTCTCGAACTCCTGACCTCAAGTGATTCGCCCACCTTGGCCTCCTAAACTGCTAGGATTACAAGCATGAGCCACCACGCCCTGCCTGAAGGGGAGTTTATTAAGGAGTATTGACTCGCACAATCACAAGGTGAAGTCCCACAATAGGCCAACTGCAAGCTGAAGAGCAAGGAAGCCAGTCGGAATCACAAAACCTCAGGAGCAGGGAGGCCAACAGTGCAGCCTTCAGTCTGTGGCTGACGGCCCGAGAGCCCCTGGCGAACCACTGGTGTAGGCCCAAGAGTCCACAAGCTGAAGAACTTGGAATCTGATGTCTGAGGGCAGGAAGCATCCAGGATGGGAGAAGGATGGAGGCTGAAGACTCAGCAAGCCTGCTCCTTCCAACTTCTTCTGCCCCCTTTATTCTAGCTGTGCTGGCAGCTGATTGGATAATGCCCACCCAGATTGACAGTGGCTCTGCCCTTCCCAGTCCTCTGACTCAAATGTTCATCTCCTGTGGCAGCACCCTCACAGACACACCCAGGAATAAAACCTTGCATCCTTCGATCCATTCAAGTTGACACTCCGTATTAACCATCACACCGTTCATCCATCTTGGGAGAAATGTTTATTCAGGGCTCTTGCCCATTTTTAAATCAGGCTATGATTATTAGTTGCAAATGAGTTGTTATTCGGCCTGAGAAAGAACGCAGTCCTGCCATTGTGACAACGAGGATGAACCGGGAGGTTGTTATGCTGAGTGAAATAAGCCAGGCACAAAAGAGCGAGGTCAGCAGCAGGACCTGCTTAAGGGAGCCATGCACGGTAGTCAAACTCCTAGAAGCAGAGAGGAGAAGGCTGGTGGCCAGCGGGGCTGGAGGGAGGAGGGAGAAGGGAGACGGTAGTCCAGGGTTCAAAGGTGCAGTTGTGCAGGGCGCGCGTGTCTTGCAGATGTAAACCGAGGCCAGTGCCGTGGCTCACCAGGTGATTTTGTAGAACTAAAGTTCCTAATAGTATAGGTCTTATGGTGTGTCCTTACCAAAAAAAAAAAAAGAAAAGAAAAGAAACAGAAAACAAACAAATTTCACAGTAATACTATCAAGGGTGGGAAACAGTCTTGGAGGAGATGGGTAGGTTTACAACACTGATGGTCACAGCACCTTCTCAGGCGACACCAAAACTCACCAGAGGGTCTGTATGAAGTATCTGCAGCCTTTTATATGTTAGCCACACATCAGTAGAGTGGTTCAAACAAACAAACGCAGAAAGAAAGGAAACTTGTACGATTCTGTGAGCTGCGAGGGACTCGGAGACAGGACTGTTCTGGTGGCTTGTGTGTGTTTGCACGACCCGCACGGGCGACCGTGGCCTCCCTAAGACGCAACTGCACGTGGACTCTTAACCATCTCAAAGTAGAACGTTTAATTAAAAGTGTCACCTCCTTTTGCAATGGTAAAAACAAAAACAGACCTGGAAGAACTGGATAGCTATGCTTAAAAAGTGAACCTCAGGCCAGGCGCGGTGGCTCATGCCTGTAATCCCAACACTTTGGGAGGCTGAGGCGGGCAGATCATGAGATCAAGAGATCGAGACCAGCCTGACCAACATGGCGAAACCGTGTCTCTACTAAAAATACAAAAATTAACTGGGTGTGGTGCCTGTAGTCCCAGCTACTTGGGAAGCTGAGGCAAGAGAATCACTTGAACCAGGAGGTGGAAGTTGCAGTGAGCTGAGATCACACCATTGCACTCCAGCCTGGCTACAGAGTAAAAAAAGCGAACCTCAAACATTACCTGACACTGTACACAAAAATCAACTCAAAATGGATCTCAGGGCTAAGTGTAAGAGCTACAATGGCTGTTCTTCTGGAAGACAGCACAGGAGAAAATATCTGGACATTGAATTCAGGAACCATTTTCTAAACAGGACAGCAAAGCAGGTATTATAATAGAAAACAATGAAAAAAAGATTTTTGCTCTTCTTTCGGTAACTGAGCAATTCAATTTCCCCCCAGCTTTATCAAGGTATAATTAGCAAAGAATATATACATTTAAGGTGCACAGCATGTTATGATATATGTATACTTTGTGAAGTGATTGCCACAGTCAGGCTAATTCACACGCCCGTCAGCTCACAGTTACCCTTTTCTGTGGCGACATTACCTAAGCTGTACCCACTAAGCGAATCTTAAATACACAGTGGAGCTCATTAACTAGTCTCCACGCTGGCATCAGGCCTCCAGAACCATCCACCTTAGAGCCCAGGCACTGCGTGCACTGAAACATCTCCTCGCCCCCTTGCCACAACCTCTGCTTTCTAGAGGCGTAGTTAAGGCAATGAAAATGCAGGTCATGGGCAACGCGCAAAATACGTGCTCAGTAAAGGGCTTGTGTCCACGCATATGAGGAGCTCTGAGAATTCAATCGTAGGACAGGCAACCCTGTTTATTGTTTACTTTTTAAATCACTTTTATTTTTTGCCATCAACCAACTTACCAGACAACCCTATTTAAGAAATAAGGGGCAGAATTGGACACACCTGTGGTCCTTCCTACCTGCTCGGGAGGCTGAGGTGGGAGGATTGCCTGAGCCCAGGAGTTTAAGAGCAACCTGGGCAACGTAGAAAGACCCCATCTCTCTAAAAAAAAATAACCAGAAGTGGTGGCATGTGCCTGTAGTGCTGGCTTCTTGGGGCGCTGAGGTGGGAGGATCACCTGAGCCCAGGAGGTTGAGGGTGCAGTTAGCTGTGAGCGTGCCGCTGTGCTCCAGCCCGGGCAACAGAGTGAGACTCTGTCTCTAGAAAAAAAACACAAAAACCAAAACACAAAAAACAAAAAGATAGACAAAGGACTGGAAGAGCTACTCCCATCCTGTAAAGAAGATACACCAATGGTTAATAAGCACATGAAAAAATACTCTTGCTTGTCACCAGCGAAATGCAAAGTGAAACCAAAAAACTATACCAATACATGTGTGTGCGTGCACACACACACAGGCACACACGCACAGACACACACACTATATGCATACACACACATGCACAGGCACACACATGCACACAGGCATGCACTTACACAGACACACACTATATGCATGCACACACACAGGCACACATGCACAGACACACACTATATGCATACACACACACATGCACAGGCACACACACGCACACAGGCACACATGCACAGACACATACACACTATATGCATACACATACACATGCACAGGCACACACGCACACAGGCACGCACACACACAGACACACACTATATGCATGCACACACACACAGGTAAACAGGCATACACGCACAGACACACACTATATGCATAGACACACACATGGACAGGCACACACACGCACACAGGCACACACACAGACACACACTATATGCATGCACACACACAGGCACACATGCACAGGCACACATGCACAGACACACACACACTATATGCATACACACACATGCACAGGCACACACACGCACATAGGCACACACGCACACAGGCCCATGCACAGGCACACATGCACAGACACACACACTATATGCATACACACACATGCACAGGCACACACGCACAGGCACACACACACTATATGCATACACACACACATGCACAGGCACACACACACTATATGTATACACACACATGCACAGGCACACATACGCACACAGGCACACGCACACAGGCACACACACAGGCACACACACACTATATGCATACACACACATGCACAGGTACACACACACAGGCACACACGCACAGACACACACACTATATGCATACACACACACACAGGCACACAGACAGAGGCACACACGCACAGGCACACACTACAGTGGCTGAAATTAAAGAAGATACCAGTGCCATCGTGGTGACATCCAGTGTGGGTGAGGACATAGTGCAGTATCTGTAGTGAAATTACACAACAGTGCAGCTTGTCTGGAAAACCAGGTGGCCGTTTCTTATCAAGTTAAACATGAGCCTGCCACTCGTAGGCATTTATCAAGGAGAAAGGAAAGCATAAATGTGCTCAAAATCATGTTGGTGGATGTTCACAGCAGGGGAGGGGACAAGGCTGTCGCTTGGGCCCCTTGCATTTGCTGAAAAATCAACTTGCAAAAGGCAGACAGGTTTAAGCATGTAGACGGGGGCGGGGGGGGGGGGGAGCTTCAGAATGAAGACCTAAAGATCCAGAGGAAGCTGTCCATTTTCCTTTTTGAGATGCCGTCTCACCCCAGTTGCCCAGGCTGGAGTGCAGTGGTGTGATCTTGGCTCATCGCAACATCCGCCTCCCAGGCTCAAGCAATTTTTGTATTTTTAGTAAGACAGGGTTTAACCACGTTAGCCAGGCTGGTATCGAATTCCCGACCTCAGGTGATCTGCCCGCCTTGGCCTCCCAAAGTGCTGGGATTGCTACTCAGCAGCAAAATGCACCAGATTGTGACCACAGGCAGTGATGTGCCATGCCAGGGACAGACGTATGACCACAGGCAGTGGCGTGCCATGCCAAGGGACAGAAGTCACACACAGAAGATGCACTGTAGACTTTCATTTATTTGAAATTCCAGATAACAGGCAACGAGGGATGGGAAACAATACAGACGCATCCAAGAGAAGAGCTGGAGTAAGACGGTGCTTATGGGCCCAGCTGCACCAGGAAGGTTGCTGGATTTTAACAGACTTGTTATCCCAAAGAAAGACCAAGAGTGAATTCAAACTGTAGAGGGCAGATCAGTGGTCGCTTGGGACAGGGGCTGGGGAGAGTGGGTCGGTTACTAAGGGATTGGGGGGAACGTTTAGGGAGGAAGTGTTAATCTCCTGCAGGGGGTGTGATTATACACAAGGGTCAAAACTCATCCAACTGCACACTTAAAATGGGCACACTTTCTTATGTATCAGTATTATCTTAATAATCAGGAAAGAGAAATAAACTTTTTTTACAATTGTGTGTCAGCCTGAGGCTGAAGGAAGTCACCTGCAGAGCTTGGTGGTGATGGGGGAGCTGCCAGTGGGGAGGGCAAAGGCTCTGTCCGATCCTGTTTCCACCCACACCCATTCTACCCTCTCTCCAGAGCCCAGCTCCGAGCCCACCTTCTTCCATGGCGATTTCTGGCCACACCGCTAACCGCGCTAGTGCTCTGACGGTGGACTCTGAGAACTGGGAATCCGGAATACCTTTATAAAATGGATTTCACCTTTGTCCAAGGCACTTTTCTCTCCCAAAGGCTGACAGACCCCGACAGGGTCCTGGTGGAGTCCGTTGTTTTCTGGGAGGTGTGAGGGTCATTGAGACCTCACAACTCACTGTACTGGGCTGAATGGGGCCCCCCAAAATGGTACGTCCAAGTTGTAGTGCCTGGTATCTGCGAATGGGCACCCTATTGGAGAAAGGGTCTCAGCAGATGGAATTAAGATCCCTTCTTGTGGCTCTGAAGATGAGACACTGCTGGCTTAGGGTGGCCCCAAGGCCATTGACTGCATGTCCTCATGGGGAAAGGGTAGGGCGATTTGAGATGCAGACCCATGGAGAGAAGAGAGCCGCGCGTGACAGAGGCAGGGGTTGGAGCGGCGCTTCCACAAGCCAAGGGGGCCAGCAGCCACCAGGAGCTGGGAAGGAGCCTTCCTCAGAGGGTTCAGGAGAAGCCAGCCCTGTGACTCTGATTTCAGACGAGGTCCCCAGGATTGGGAGAGAATACATTCGTGCCGTCGTTTTTTGTTTGTTTAAATTAGAGACAGTCTCTCTGTGTGGCCCAGGCTGGAGTGTGGCACCATGATCACAGATCACTGCAGCCTCAGACTCCTGGGCTCCAGCGATCCTCCTGTCCTAGCCTCCTGAGAGGCTGGGACCACAGGAAATTCACATGGTTTTAAACCCCCAGGTGTGCTGAACTTAGCTGGGCAGCCTCAGGGCGCTCCCAAGTGCTCCCTGGCTGGGTGGAGACAGGCCTGCAAGGCTCCCATCAGCTGCTCCCTATTTGACCCCGCAGCTGGCGGCCAGAGGGCGCGTTCAGGGGTCAGTCCATCCTCGTCCCGCCCAGGGTTGTCCAACCTCACAGTGTGTGACCAGTTTGCATTTTCCCAGCCGCACTGGGGGCCCCTCACCTCCGAGGGCTCCTCCCCTGAGCTGCCTGCCTTCCCAGCCATGGGGTGGGCGCTGCTTCAGGAGCTGAGCGCTAGCACCCTGAAGGACAGTGTCCTTGTCGTCTGGGTTCTCCGATGCCTGGAGAACACTTCTTTCTGGCTCATTCTCTCTGTCAAACTGCTGGTGTGGCTTCTGCTCAGATTTGATCCTGACTGATGCCAAGGGTAAGTCAACAAGGCCTGGGACCTTTGGCCTCTGGGTGGCCCTTTGATAACACATCACGGGGAGGGAGGGAGAGCAGATCGATTCCAGGAAGACCAGACATCTGGGGGACCGTCAGGGGGATGAGGAAGGGGGAGGAGTGGAGGAAGAAGAGGAAGGGAAGGAGGGGGAGGGGAAAGGAAATGGGGAGGAGAAGGCAGAAGGAGGGAGGAGGAGGGGGAGGAAGAGGAGGAGGACTGCTGTTTATGGAGCAGCAGAGGGCCCTGGGCTGCTGGTTCTGCACGTGCCCCAAGTTCTGCCTGTCACAGAGGAGCCCAGGGGTGTACTGACTGCTCTTTATTATTAATCTGCCTGGGCCTCGGTAACAAAGGACGGCAGGCCTGGCCTAAAGGCGGACACTGACCTTCTCCAGTCCTGCAGGCTGGTGGCCGAGCCAAGGCGTCTGTTGGCAGGGCCGTTTCCCCTCAGCCTCTCTCCTGGGCTTCTCCGCAGACCCTCCCAGGGCCAGGCCTCTGTGCCTGTGACCTGACCTCCCCTCTGTGGAGACACCAGCCCTGTAGGATCAGGGACACATCATGACCTCCTTTGACCTCAGTTCCCTCTCTAAAGGGCTTATCTCCAAACACAGCCACATTTGGAGGTCGCGGGGTTAGGACTTCAACCTTCGAAGGGGCACAATTCAGTGCCTACCACAGCGCCATCATTTTACAGGAGAAGTGTGGAGCTGGGACGGGGGATCGCGGCCCTGGGCCGCACCCTCAGACACAGTCCTGTTGAGCTTCAGGGGCTGCACGTTCCTCCCGGTGCTGGACAGGGCTGGGCGAGAATGTGAGCCTCGCCCGGGGAGTGTCCTTGTCTTTCGAGGACAGTGTCTCCCCCACTGGAGTTTCCCGGGGAAGGCCAGAGGTCTCTGGGGTCGGCAGTACCTTTCCCGGTCTCTGGGCCCACTGGGCAGATGATCAGGGGACAGGGGTCGTGCGTCCAGAGACAGAAGAATGGCCGCAGGGGCCCAGCGGCGAGTCCAGAGAACGTGTAGAGCAGGGAGCCGTCCGTCCCGCTGTGGAAGGAGACGCTGCTGGCGTGGCAGTCCAGGGTGACGGCCACCCGCTGGAGGGGCCGGGCCAGCTGGAGGCGCGTCCTGGGGTAGGACAGGGCCCGGCAGCGCCTCCCGTACAGCTCCAGCGCCCAGACTCCGTGCCGCGGGGCCTTGGGGATCCTGCCCTTCCGCGGCAAGCCCTCCGCACACACGCCGAGCACCCAGGCCCTCCTGCGGCCCACCTCCACCTCCCAGCGATGGCTCCCCGTCCAGAAGCGCTCCCGGCCCAGGACGCAGGGCTCCGGCTCGAACCTCCCGGGGCCGGGGGGCAGGTCCTGTGGGAACAGCAGCCGCCACACGCTTCTCCCATCCTCCGACAGGCTGAGCTTGGGGCTCGCGGTGTCCGGGTCCAGCTTCAGGCTCACTGTGGAAAGGCAAAGTCATGTGTCTGGGGCGTGGGGTGCCTCCCTTGCAGGTCGGGAACCCCGAGGCTGGTCTCCCACACTGGGGCGTCCCCCTCCATCTCCAGGAGTCCCTTCATGGTCTCTGTATCTTGTCCCTAAGAGAGCAGGGCACAGGCAGCCTGGGGTTGCCAGCGGGATCCTGGCAGAAGGTCCAGGGAGGTGAGTGGGGCTGGTGTGCGGCGGCCTGGGCCACCTCCCCGGGGGTGCACCCACTGCCTTCACAGCGTTGTGCTGGTGGGCGGGGTGTGTGTGTGAGAGCGAGATAGAGACAGAGAGACACACAATGAGAGAGAGATAGAGACAGGGAAAGAAAGAGAGAAAAAAAAAACAGAGACATAGAGACAGAGACAGAGTCAGAGAGACACAAAGAGACAGAGACTGAGAGAAGCAGAGCTGAAGGGAGGAGGCAGAGCCCCAGCCAGCACCTCTGGAAAGCCCCAGAAAGGATCCCAGCAGTCCCGATGCCGAGACAAAGGTCTCCCCAAATGCCCACCTCTGCGGGAAGCAGTTCTCTCTGCTTTGCCCCAGTCCTTGTCCTTCTTCCTCAAAGGCCACCCTTCCTCTGCTGAACCTCCGTTCACGGGTCCCCTCTGTCTTGCCTGCTGTCTCAGGGTGCCACCCTTTGGGGCATGACCTGGAGGTGGAGATCCATCTGCACTCCACCTCCCTAAACGAGAGGCGGTAAGGGTAGCCTGGGCACCTGGCTGCTCCAGACACACCTTTCTGACACCTGGAACCAGCACTAGGTGGCCTGCCCTGCTCCTTCAGAAGCCCTGTGCGCCACCGTGCGCTTGGTCCCCATCACAGTCCCAGGCATACATCACTGCCTGAACCCTCATCCCCAAGGGCTTGAGAGGATCCACGCTGTCCATTATCAAAGACGCAGCCTCCCCACTCAACGCCCCTGCCTCCTTCCTGCAGGGCAGCCCTGCTCCTCCTTGCTTTTGTTTCTTTATTACCCCCACACATCCCCGCTGCTACCTCCTGCCTTTCTTCTGCCCACCCAGTCCCCTGCTCCTTACACCCGGGCTGTGAACGGGGCTGTTCCTACCGCATCTCCCCCACGGCCACTGCCAACCCCCAGCCGCCTCTTCCCTCACTGAAGAATTAGTCCAGCTCTTTGCGCTTCCCTCCATCCCACATGCTCTCATTCAAGGAAATTTCTTATTCATATTGAAATGATTCCAGATTTACAAAGAGTGACAAAAAGCATAAAGAATACGGCATATGACAACATCTTCATAGCTGTAGTAAAATGGCCAAAACCAGAAAATGGACGTGGGCGTAGCGCTAGGAAACAGCTGTTTTGGAATCTGCAGAGCTCGTCCACGTTTTGCCAACTGTCCCTCCCAAGTCCTCCCACTGGCCCCATCTCCTGCTCAGCCAGTTTTGCCTCCCCTGGTCCTCACCTCTCCCTTTCCACAGGGACTCTTCTCTCTCTCTCTCTCTCTCTCTCTCTTTCTCTCTCTCTCTTTATGTGTGTGTGTGTGAGACGGAGTCTTGCTCTGTTGCCCAGGCTGGAGTGCAGTGGCACAATCTTGGCTCACTGCAACCTCTGCCCCCCAGTTCAAGCAATTCCCCTGCCTCAGCCTCCCGAGTACCTGGGATTACAGGTGCCCACCACCACATCCAGCTAATTTTTTTGTATTTTTAAAGAGATGGGGTTTCACCATATTGGCCAGGCTTGTTTCCAAGTCCTGACCTCAAGTAATGTGCCCCCCTTGGCCTTTCAAAGTGCTGGGATTACAGGGGTGAGCCGCCGCGCCCAGACTCTTCTCTGTATTTCGTGAGATCATGTCCAGAGGTAAAAAGTCAGATTTCCCTGCTGTCCATGGTGACTGCATCCCCAGAGCTCCCCATCAGGAAAGCAGAGACCCTCTCAGCATCTCCCACATGTAAGACAGCTGTGGCCATGGACACTCCATGCCTGCCTCTCCCAGTGTTCCAGGAATAAAAAAGGAGCCCAGGCTGGGCACAGTGACTCACGCCTGTAATCCCACACTGGGGCATCCGGTACAGCGCCAGCGCCCAGACTGCATGCTGCAAGGCCTTGGAGAGCCTGCCCTTTCTATCCAAGCCCTCCAAGCACACACTCACACATGCATATGCACATATTCACACCCATCCACGTGCACACACACATGCACACATGCAGCACACAGTCATGGAAATGGATATATATGCACACAGTCATGCACACACATGCATACACATGTATTCACTCATCCACATGCAAACATATGCACACATGCAGCATGCACTCATGGAAACGGATATACATGCATACATTCACACATGCATACACATACACATTCACACTCATCCACATGCACGCGCATGCACGCAGGCAGCGTACACTCACACTCACAGAAACACAGGTATACAGGCACACAGGTATGCATACATGAAGACATACATGTACACGTACATACCCATCACACACATGCACACACATTTGCACATGCACACACACACACAAACACGTGCACATGCATACACACTCATGCACACACCCACACATGCATACACAAGCACACAGGCACACTCATGCACACACACATGTATGCATGCACACATCTGCACACAGATATGCAGAAACAAGCCTCAGAAGGCAGACTGAAGCCAGAGACAGTCTGGGCTTGCCTCCAGGTGGCCCTGGTTCATTCCTTTCTCACTCTCCTGCTGAGTAAGTCTGGACTTTTCTTACTTCCATCAGAATGAGTGTGTGGGGGACAGAAACCAAGACCTATATGTCCCTGAAGGAAGGACTTCCTGCCCTTTCCTTTACCCCTGACACCAGCTCTAATTTTGGGGTCCCTAGAGCAAGCGCCCTTTCATCCCTGCTCCATGGAATTAGATCTGTGCTTCCGGCTCCCTTTGCCTGTGGGACCCTGGCTGCAAAGGCCCCACGCCTCCACATGTGGCTCTCACCACAGGTGACGTCACTCTCCCGCCAACTTGCAATGAAGCAGAGAGGAGGGAAATTGTGAGGTGCAGCACATCAACATGGGGCCAAAGCTCACACCGCGATGAGCCCAACCAAAGGAGAGCGCTCCTGACTTAGCTGAAGAACACGTGTGTCTTTCATGTTCAGTAAAATAACATACGAAGGAGTCTCATTTCTAAGAACAGCTGTTTAAGTCCCATAGGCCGTTGGCCCTGTCCTCCTGCAACCTACGTAAGTGTGTCATGATGCTGACTTTTATTTTCTTTTCCGAGACAGAGTCTCACTCTGTTGCCCAGGCTGGAGTGCAGTGGCACCATGTCATTGCAACCTCCACCTCCTGGGTTCAAGCGATTCTCCTGCCTCAGCCTCCCGTGTAGCTGGGATTACAGGCGCCCACCACCATGTCCGGCTAATTTTTGTGTTTTTAGTAGAGATGGGGTTTTGCCACGTTGGCCAGGCTGGTCTTGAACTCCTGTCCTCAAGTGATCTGCCCACCTCGGCCTCCCAGAGTGCTGGGATTACAGGCGTGAGCCACCTCGCCCTGACTTTTCTCTTTCTTTCCTCTCCTTCTCTTCTTCTCTCTCTCTCCATTCCTCCCTCTCTCTCTTTTCTCTCTCTCTCTTTCTCTTTCTTCCTTTTTTTCTCCCTTCCTTCCTTCCTTCTTCCTTCCCTCCTTCCTTCCTTTGCTCCCTCCCTCCCTTCTTTCTTTCTTTCCTTTCTTTTCTTTCTTTCTCTGGCTCTGTCACCCAGGCTGGGTGCAGTAGCACAATCACAGCTCACTGTAGCCTTAAACTCCTGGGTTCAAGCGATTTTCCCACCTCAGCCTCCTGAGTAGCTGGAACATCAGGCACACGCCAGCATGCTGGGCTAATTTCCTTATTTTTTGAAAAAATAGGATTCTGCTATATTGCCCAGGCTGGTCTCAAACTCCTGGCCTCAAGCATTCCTCCCACCTCAGCCTCCCAAAATGCTGGATGGCAGCTGTGAGCTGGCACGACTGACTCTCATAATGCAGTCTTTGTAACCAGCCAAGCACCATCCCTACTATCCAAACGGGCTCTGCAGTCTAGGGACAAGTCCTCAGCTCCTGAAATGCACAGGAGGAAGGGAGTGAAGTGGACAAATGGACACAGTCAATATTGAGAATAATCACAGTGATGGCACCCACAGACTCTCCCCCACACGGCCCCTGCCCTGGATGTGACTCTGTTGGTCACCACAGCACTCTTGGAGGATGGTGTCAGCACCCGCAGCGGACAGAGTGGTTCAGGGCTCACACCAGGTCCCTCAGCTCCCTCATCAGCCTTGGGGTTCAAGCTCAGATCTGTTTCCAAGCAAGAGTGCAACCACCCTGCCCAAAATCAGCCAGTGAAGGCTGACCGAAGGACTGCTAGGAGACAGATGTCTCACTGGGTAGATCTCAATTGGGCAATTCCAGAGCGGGGGCTCCACTGGCCACCCTGTTCCTAGCGTGTTGAGAACGCATGGAGGAAGCCTCAGCTCAGGGCTTCGTGCTAGGTTTGAGGGGCGGGATGTGCCTCGTCAGGGCTCCCTGCTTACCGCGCCATGGCTCAGCCTCACCGCTGCCGGTGGGCGGCTGCTGCTCCTCTTCTCTTCGCTCCCTCTCTTCTTCCAGCCATCTTTTATTCTTTTCCCTTTGACGTTTCCAGAAGATACAGAGGCCTCCAGCTATCAGGAGTCCCACTGCAACGAGGATCAGAGGCAGAGCTGCTTTCCATGCCGTGAACCCGGAGCTTCTGGAAAAGGTAGCTGGAGAAGATTCTGGAAGCCAAGAATGTTGGGGTGAGAGATCATGGGTGTTCTGAGGTCAAACTCACTAAAGGGTTCACGGGTCTAGGGGCATCATATTCGCAAACTACTGTGAAATAGTTTCAAAAAAAGTATGTATCTGCGCAGGTGGCGCTAGGGACTGAATGTGTCTCCCAAAGTTCCCAGGTTGGAATCCCACGGTGATGATGTTAGGAGGTGAGGCCTTTGGTAGGTGATGAGGTCATGAGGGTGGATTCCCCATAATGGGTATGATGGGAATGATGCCTTCATAAAAGGGACCCCAGAGAGCTCCCTCACCCCTTCCACGCAGTGAGAAGGTGCCACCTATTACCAGAAGGCGACCTCGCCAGACACCAAATCTGCCACGCCTTGATCTTGGCCCTCCCAGCTCACAAAACTGACAATAACTATCGCCTTTCTCAGCCACCCGTCTGTAGTATTTTGATATAGGAGCCAAAATGGACCAAATAGTTGGGTATAAATATATGCATAGGAAATGGATATCAGACAGACCTAAGATATACACATAGGAAACAGAGATCGAACATGCGTAGGAGACATGTCAGAGGCGGGCGTGGGAAACGGACCTTAGATGGAGGCGTGGGAAACGGACCTTAGATGTCTATTTGTAGAAAGACAGAGAGAGAAATGATAAAAAGAAATATGGCACGAAGGTAAAAATGCGGTGGACGTGAGTAAAGGATGCACAGTCAACTTCTCTATTACTCTTGCAAATTTTCTATAGGTTTGACATAATTTAGAAGAGTAAGAGTGAACGTTTTTGTCAAAAGGTAAATCTGGAAGCAACCAAGATGTTTTCCAGTAGGTGAATGGACCAATAAACAGTGGCACGGTGGCTCACAGTGTAATCCCAGCACTCCGGGAGGCCGAGGCGGGCGAACCATTAGGTCAGGAGTTCAAGACCAGCCTGACCAACATGGTAAAACCCCGTCTCTACTAAAAATAAGAGAATTAGCTGGGCATGGTGGTGTGCACCTGTAGTCCCAGCTACTCCAGCAGCTGAGGCAGGAGAATCGCTTGAACCTGGGAGGTGGAGGTTCAGTGGCTGAGATCACACCACTGCACTCCAGCCTGGCAACAGAGTGAGACTCTGTCTCAAAAAAAAAGTCTGTTTTTTAAAAAACCATTGATATCAGGGTGTACATTTCCTGTTACCCCAAAGGCAAAGCTGTCCCCAGGGCGTCTGCACCCTCATCTCTGTTCCAGTTCAGTAATCAGCACCCGTGCAATACACATCCCGGGATGCCCCAGCCAGGTGAGGACACGGACCTGCCACCTGTCCCCTCCTGCCAGTGTCCAGGGCCACAGACTCCTGTGCTCAGGGATTGTGAGGACAGACCTGAACAGAGCACTCACCGGGCAGGCGGCTCTCAGCTACCTTCCTCTGCTCAGGGAGAAGGGGGCTGGAGATGGAGCAGGAGAGACCCTCCACAGCCCTGTCCCAGAGGGTCAAGCTGGACGCCACAGCCCAGAGCCCAGTGGTGGCTGAAGCTGAGAGATTTGTCACAGCGGGCCTCGCTTGGCCCCTGAAGTCTCTCCATTCCACCCAGGGCTTGGGGAACCAGCCAGCCGACGTGCAGTCTGCCCTGACTCCATCCTGCCCAGCCGTCACCTGGATTCTGGGCTCCGTGCCCAGCCCTGAAGGAAGAGACAGCGGCTTGAATCTCTGCAGCCATGGCTGCTTCTACTTAAAGGGGGAAAAAAAAAACAGTCTTGAGAATTTCCAGTGTATTTTTGGCAGTTTCACAAACTGCCTACCCTGTGTCACGTGCCATCCCTAACAGAGTGCCCCCATTTCCCAGACGAAAGAGAGGAAGGCAAAGCAGAAGGCCCAGGAGGACTGAACACGCATCCTGTGTCCCGGACGTAGAATCCAGGTCACAGATGGGACCCAGGCTTGTCTGCTTCCAAGCACAAGTTCTGAGTCACCCAGGAAACCTCCAGGATTTCAAGGCTCTCTTCTCTCTCCCGGCCCCTGTCTCCTGTCACTTCCTCTCTCTCCCTCCCTCTCTCTGTTGCTTACTCTTTCTCATGTTCTCTCTTTCTCATTCTCTTTTACTGTCTCTGTCTCTACCTCCCTCACTCTTTCTGTCGCCGACTCTCTCTCTGTTTCACTCTCTCTGTCTCTCATTTTCTCACTCTGTCTCTCTCCATCTCTGTCTCTCTGTTTCACTCTCTCTGTATCTCTCATTTTCTCATTCTCTGTCTCTCTCCATCTCTGTCTCTCTGTTTCACTCTCTGTGTCTCTCATTTTCTCATTCTCTGTCTCTATCCATCTCTGTCTCTCTGTTTCACTCTCTCTGTGTCTCTGTTTCTTGTTCTCTCTGTCTCTTTCCATCTCTGTCTCTCCTTCCTTCATTCTCTGTCTCTGCCTGTCCCTCTCTCTATCTCTCCCTCCCTGTCTCTATCATTCTCTCTGTCATTCTTTATCTTTCTCTGTCTTTTTCTCCATCTCTCTTTCCACCTGACTGTCTCCCTGCCTCTCTCTCATCCTCTCTGTCCATCTCTGTCTCTTTCATTCTCCACGTCTCTCTCTTTCTCCTCCTTTTCTTCCCTCCTTTCCAGTCCAGTGGTGCAAGGAGGGAAGGAAGATGAGGAAGGTGGCCCTGCCTTCATAGCTGCGCTTCTGGGGAGCAGTGCAGGCCGGCACAGCAGCTGGGAGGGTTCACTCCTGCCCCCCCGAAACCCTCCACCTGGACATGCTGGGCCCGGAGGTTGTGCCCAGAAGTGGGGCTGACAGCCAGCTAGCCGCCGGCCTCACCTGCCACCTGCACCTGCACCACGGCCTCCCCAAACTCAGCGCCGTCCTGGAAGCGGCAGCAGTACGTCCCATTGTCGAAGGCGGTGACGCTGTGAATCCTCACGGTGGCCTTGCCGCCTGCCACGTGGTCATTCACGAAGGTGGTTCTTCCCCTGTACTGTGGCACTTGCTCTGCATCCATGTCCATCCCTCTCTCATGCACGTGCACAGCCAGGGAGGGCTGGCACCTGTACCACCTCAGCTCCATGTCCTCGGCGCTCACACTGGGGAACAGCTGGCACTGCAGCTCCACCTGTCCCCCAGCCATGGCCAGAATAGGAGCATGAGGCCCAATGACATCAAAGTTGGCTTTCCCTGGGGGAGCAGATCAGAAAGGGCTGGGTTAAGCCATGTGTGGGGAGGCCGGGGGGTTTCCCCCGCCTGTCCCTCCCTCATCTCGGAAGCTGGGAGGACCCTCTTGAGCCCTGCGCTGCCAGGGAGAGGTCTCAGCTTCCTGCCATGCTGGACACCTGCCTCCACTTGCACAGGGGTCTGTCCAACAGTTTTGACAGATGCTGGCCAGTGGAAGCTGCAGGAAGACCAGGGTGACAAAGGGCTGGAAGGCGTCTGGAGCACTCATCACTGCCATTCCTGCCGGCAGGAGCCACGCACTGTTACCGGAAGAGGAGCCACCACCAGGTGGAGCACCGCTAACAGGTGCAGAGGAAAAACGCCCTGAGAGAGAAAGAAGAGAAAGGTCATTCACTCCCAAGAAGTTGTGAATGCTAGAGATGGAGATACAGCAGCCTCGCCTGGTGTGCTCCTGTGCCCATCTCCTCATGGGGACGCACCTCTCACCCCAGTCCATCTGCAGAATTCCACAGGGACATCCGGGAGCGGAGGGGTTTGATTTTCTCACCTGCTCGTGAAGGGCCATGGCCCGGCCTCTAGCCGGTGACTGTCACAAAACACCAGAATGCTGGGGGAGAAAACCCAGGCTCGGATTGAGCAAAGTCGAGGTCAGGACGACATCAGGGGTTTCCCTTAATGTCCCTTGCTTTCCTGCTGTCCCCACGGGGACTTCTACACTCAGGGGCTGGGGGCTGGGCCCGGCCCTCAGAACTCTTCAGCAGGGATGGGCAGGCTAAGACCCTCATGAGTCTCCCGGGAGCACTTCCTGTCCCTCGGTGTAGAGAGCAGGTGTTGGGAAACAGGTGTGTGGCCTTGGGTAGCTCTACCCGGCACAGCCATCCAGGCTGGGCATTTATCGTGTGTGATTAGGGAGTTATGTGGGCACAGGCTCTTGTCCTGTTTGGTTGGGGCCTTGCAGGAAGGTCCCTCTGCTCCTTGGGGATAGGTATAGGGTGGCAGAAGCAGACACTGAAGAGCAAACAGTATCCTGACCATAGGTAATACTCACCTGGGCTGGGTGCAGTGGCTCATGCCTGTAATCCCAGCACTTTGGGAGGCCGAGGTGGGCAGATCATGAGGTCAGGAGTTCGAGGCCAGCCTGACCAACATGGTGAAACCCGGTCTCTACTAAAAATACAAAGATTAGCTGGGCATGGTGGCACACACCTGTAATCCCAGCTACTCAGGAGGCTGAGGCAGGAGAATCACTTCAACCCGGGAGGTGGAAGTTACAGTGAGCCAAGATCGTGCCACTGCACTCCAGCCTGGGCAACAGAGCGAGACTCCATCTCAAAAAGAAAGAAAACGCTCACCTGGCACTGAGGGTGGCTGCAGCTTCCTGGAAGTCCTGGCGACTTTGCGGGAATGAACTTAGTTTCCTGCCAACTCCAGGTGGGGTGTGACCCAGGCCAACCACGCTGTCTCCAGGCGGCAATGTGAAAGTCAGCCTGGGCATCTGGCAAAAGCCACCAAGACTCCCAGTTTCCAGAGATCCTTCCTTTTGTTTGTTTGGTTTTTTTTTTGCAAAAATATGTAACGGTGTCTTTTTGGCAGTTGCAGCAGAAAGAAAATAAAAGGCTTCCTGAAGAATGTGGTCCCCCAGTGTGGAGCAGCCTGGGCTGGGCAGCAGGAGATACGCCCGCCCTCGGGGAGGAGGCGGCTCAGGCCGGACCCAGGCCAACCGCAGGAGCTGCAAACGCAGATAAAGCCCACGGTATCTGGCGGGGTGCAGACCCAGCTGAGCTAGCCCGGGTCCTTCGGAAAAGGTGTTTATGGTCATGCTGCAATGGCCTCATTCCTGTATTGTCCTGGGGGAACATTCAGGGCTCCCCTTCCCCAGCCCTTTGCTGCCCGCCGTGACTGTGGGGTCCTGGGTGTCTGTTCTTGCTGGCAACCTCCCTGGCCCGGCTTAGAACCTTCAAGCTAATTTTCAGCACCCAGCGGCCAGGCCCCTTCCCTCCTGGCCTTCTTGTTTGATGACTCAAAAGTCTGGGCCGTTTTCTGGGGGTTTTGGTGAGAAAGGAGCCCAGGGAGGAGCTGCCTTGATTTCCTGGAGGGAGGGGCATCATCTGAGCTCCGCAGAAGGGTGCTGAGCACTCCCGTGCCCACGGGCACCAGAGGAATCCACCTGCAAGGTCCTCCCTATGTCCCTCCTCGGGGAGTATCCCTTAGGTCAGCCAGCTGTTCCCCCTTTTATATGTCACCACATAAGAATTATGTCATCCTGTGATCTGCTTTTACCAGACTATCACCTAAAACTCAAATCACTTGTTCTTATTAAAAAATTAATTGGCAGGGCACGGTGGCTCAAGCCTGTAATCCCAGCACTTTGAGAGGCCAAGGTGTGTGGATTGCCTGAGGTCAGGAGTTCGAGACCAGTGTGGCTTACATGGTGAAACACCATCTCTAATAAAAATACCAAAAACATTAGCCGGGCATGGTGGCTTGAGCCTATAATCCCAGCTACTCGGGAAGCTGAGGCAGGGGAAGCACTTGAACCAGGGAGGTGGAGGTTGCAGTGAGCCGAGATCGCGCCGTTGCACTCCAGCCTGGTGACAGAACAAGACTCCGTCTCAAAACAAGAAAAAAAAAAAAAAAATATATATATATATATATATATATAGTTAAAGTCAGCGTCTCCCTCTGTCACCCAGGCTGGAGTGCAGTGGTGTGATCTCGGCTCACTGCATCCCTCAACTCCTGGAATCAAGCGATCATCCCATCTCAGCCTCCCAAGTAGCTGGGACCACAGGTGCACCATCACGTCTGGCTAAATTTTGGGTATTTTTGGTAGAGATAAAGTCTGGCTTTGTTGCCCAGCCTTGCCTCGAACTCCTGGGCTCAAGCGATCCTCCCACCTCAGCTTATCAAAGTGCCGTGGTTACTGGCATGAGCTACTGCGCTGCGCCGAGGTGCACCTGTCGTGATGACTGGCAAGGAGGACTAGGGTTTGAACAACCTGGAGAGCTGCTGGGATGCCCAGAGCATGCGGTGTGGAGAGCAGCTTGTGATGCCTGCTGTCGGACAAAGACTGTCACAAGCACTGGGAGAAGCTACGGAGGAGAAAGCTGTCCTGGAGGTGTGGGCTTTCAGCCCATGGGTGGCTCACCTGACACGGTAGTCCTTCTGTGCATGAGCCCACGTGTGGCCCAGAGCCTCTCAGGTGGGCAGCCAGGGCTCCTGTAGATATGTGCAGCCCAACCCACCTCAGGTGCAATGTTTAAAGTTCAAAGGCAAGGAGAAGACAGGAGGTCACACACTGCGTAATTCCCTTCATGTGAAATGACCAGACAGGTAAATGCAGGGACAGGAATAAAACTGTGGTTGTTGGGAGCTGAGGAGAGGGGGGAGGTGGAAATGGACATGAGGAACAACTGTTTAATATTTTTGGGGTTTTATTTAGAGTTTTATTTATTAGATGAAAATATTTTGGAACTAGATAGAAATGGTGTTTGCAAAACACTGGGAACGTACTTATACCTTAAAATGGTCAATTTTGGCCCAGTACAGTGGCTCACGCCTGTAATCCCAGCACTTTGGGAAGCTAAGGTGGGCAGATCATGAGGTCAGGAGTTCAAGACCAGCCTGACCAACATAGTGAAACCCTGTCTCTACTAAAAACACAGAAATTAGCTGAGCGTGGTGGTGGGCACCTGTCATCCCAGCTACTCAGGAGGCTGAGGCAGGAGAATCGCTGGAACCCGGGAGGCAGAGGTTGCAGTGAGCTGAGACGGTGCCACTGCACTCCAGCCTGGGTGACAGAGTGAGACTCCGTCTCAAAAACAACAACAAAAAAAGGTCAATTTGATATTATGTAAATTTTATGTTGTTACAAAAAAAAGAAAGAAAAACACTTAAGAAAAAGCAGAAAAATGGGGTCCAAAGTGGCTCCGGCCAGATGTCGTGGCGCTTGCAAAGGCAAGGTCATGAGTTCAAGGCTCACACTGATTGGCAAAAAAAAAAGAAAAGAAAAGAAAAGAAAAAGCAGAAAAAAGAAAAAAACAAAAACAACAGAGGATGAGAGAGGAGAGAGAAAACAAAGAAAAAGAAAGTGTTGGCCGGGCGCGGTGGCTCAAGCCTGTAATCCCAGCACTTTGGGAGGCCGAGGCAGGTGGATCACGAGGTCAAGAGATCGAGACCATCCTGGTCAACATGGTGAAACCCCGTCTCTACTAAAAATACAAAAAATTAGCTGGGCATGGTGGTGCGTGCCTGTAATCCCAGCTACTCACGAGGCTGAGGCAGGAGAATTGCCTGAACCCAGGAGGTGGAGGTTGTGGTGAGCCGAGATCGCGCCATTGCACTCCAGCCTGGGTAACAAGAGGGAAACTCCATCTCAAAAAAAAAAGAGTTACACGTCCCCCGATCCTGTGGATAGGATTATAGCCTAAAAGCAAACAAGAAAACCCCCAAATCGCAACTTTGTTAAAAATTGGGATTGTCCGGCCTCTGGCGCCCTCTGCAGAAATGTGTGTCGGCGCACCAGCCTCTCTTCCCAGTTCTCTTTTATTTTCGATTCGGCAGGTACAAGTGCAGGTTTGTCGCACAGCTTTCCTGTGCGAGGCTGAGGTTTGCCATCTCAGAGATCCCACTACTCAGGGAGTGAGCAGCGTGCCCAGTAGGTTAGTTGTTCAGCCCTTTCCCTCCCCCTTTCCCTCCGCTCCAGTGCCCAGCGTCTCTTCTTATCTTTATGTCCACGCCTGCCCAGTGTTTGGCCCCCATTAATGCTAAGTGAGGACACATAGCATTTGGTTTTCTGTTCCTGTATTAAATTCACTTAGGATAATGGTTTCCGGCTGCATCCGTGTTTTTGCCAAGGACATAATTTTGCTTTTTTACGGCTGTGTAGTATTTCGTGGTGTGTATGTACCACATATTCTTTATCCAGTCCCCCAGTGACAGGCATCTAGGTTGATTCCATTTCTTTGCTACTGTGAATGGTGCTGCAATAAACGTGAGTGCATGTTTCTTTCTGGTAGAATGATTCCTTTTCCTTTGCGTATATACCCAGTAATGGCATTGCTGGGTCAAACGGTAGTTCTACTTTTAGTTCTTTCAGAAACCTCCGCACTGCTTTCCACAGTAGCTGAACGAATACACCCAGACAGTATATAAAGGTTGCCTTTTTCTCTGCAAATTTGCTGATATCTGTTACTTCTTCGACTTTTAATAATAGCCATTCTGACTGGCGAGGTGGTGTCTCATTGTGGTTTCGATCTGCGTTTCTGATGGATCGTGACGTTGAGCGTTTCTCACGTTTGCTGGCTGCATGTATGTCTTCTTTTGAGACTCATCTGTTCATGTCCTTCTGTTGTGGTCACCCCGAGGACCTAAAAATGGTGCGTATAGTGGAACT